TGGTGGCACATGCCTGTAATCCCAGCTACTAGGGAGGCTGAGGCAAGAGAACTGCTTGAACCCTGGAGGCGGAGGTTGCAGTGAGCCAAGATTGCACCACTGCACTCCAGTCTGGGTGACAGAGTGAGACTCTGTCTCAAAAAAAAAGAAAAGAAAAGAAAAGAAAAGATCACATGTTCTCACTTATAAGTGTGAACTAAACAAGGGGTACACATGGACATAAAGATGGAAGCATTAGACAATGGGGACTCCAAAAGGGGGAGGGTGGAAAAATTATTTATTTGGTACAACGTTGACTGTTTGGGTGGTGGGTACACTAGAAGCCCAAACCTCACCATTATATTATAAAATACATCCATGCAAAAAACCTGCACTTGTATCCCTGGAGTAAAAAAATTAAAACTAAATAAAATAAAAGTGAGGACGTATCCCCGTCATTTGAAGAGCTTGCTCAGCACGGATTCCGCTTCAGTAAGCCTGGGCTTCAGCCCAAGATGCCTGCATTTCTAACAAGCTCCCAGGTGATGCTGACGATGCTGCCTGTGGACCTTCCTTTGATGAGTACCACGTGTGCAAAATGATGTATGCAGTAAGAACCCGTTTTTATTTTTATGAAGCTCTTAGTGCATAGAATAAATAAAGAAAGGATCACAGAATGATGCGAAGTGACGTTATCTCCGGGTCACGGAACGATGTTCATTTTCAAGTGTCTCGTGCTTTTCCACGCTTTCTAAGTTTTCTGACTTCGCACGCATTTTGTTCATAATGAGAAGAAGCTCCAATCGTTTCTGTTAGAGACAAGGCAGTGTGATGCAAAAAGCCTGGGATTTGGGGCCCAGGATTTGGAGTTAAGTTACTTCCCCTCTCTGAGGCTCAGTTTCCTAACTTGGAAACCTCATGCCTAAGCGATTGTGAGAATTGAAGCAGATCCTATGGGTAAGTTTCTGCACCGTGCCTGGCACACAGAAGGGACTCTCGATGTCAGGACCTGCCTTCTCCACTGCTGGGAACAAGATCTCGTGTCTATGAGGGGCAATTTCTGTCATTTTCACCAAGTACTTTTGCACCGGCACCCTTGTTTGTCTCCATATCATCTCTGTGACAGAGGCTGGGGGAGAAGCTATCACTGTAGAACTTGAGAGCAACCGAGCTGCCCGAGGCCACAAAGCAAGTCAGCACGGGTGCCTGGAACCTCTGTCCCCAGAACACAGCTTCCCTGCTGGGCTCCACTCCCTCTAATGTACCCATTGCATGATCCACACACAGGGACCACAGTGGCTGAGCTCTGACACCAGGCTGGGAACAGGCCCACTGCTGAACTGGCCTGGGACAGAGATACAGAACTGGAGTCTCTCTGGGCCTGCCAGGACACAGGCTAGAGGATCCCACACACGATGTGCCACTTAGCCCACCACCCCTCTAAGAGGAACCCTCACTCACTCGTGGGGATTTAAAATCATGACAATGTGCTTTTCCTCATGGAACATTTTGAACATCTCATCTGTTGAAATAACTCCACAATAGGCCAGGCGTGGTGGCTCATGCCTGGAATCCCAGCACTTTGGGAAGCCAAGGCAGGCAGATCACCTGAGGTCAGGAATTCGAGACCAGCCTGGCCAACAGGGAGAAACCGCATCTCTACTAAAAATACAAAAATTAATTGGGCATGGTGGCACATGCCTGTAATCCCAGCTACTCAGGTGGCTGAGGCACAAGAATCGCTTGAACCCAGGAGGCAGAGGTTACAGTGAGCCGAGATC